CTTAACAAAAAGGCTGAAAGAAGAATGACGAGTGGTTTCCTCCTCCTTTCATACTGAGTATCTTATTTCTGTAACTCATCTGATAGGCCGTTGGCTTCCATATGGAACTATGCAAACCTCTAATGCTGGCTACTCTTGCTTGTGGGACAACACAGGGTGAAGGAGCTAGTGGAGGAAATAGGCTCATTTGGCAGGGCCAGTAGGTGGGCTATGAACAAATGTGAAGCTCATTTGATAGGCTTCAACAAACAAACAAACAAACAAACAAACAAACAAACACCTCTGTTAATAATGGAAATCAGTGACCTATGCTTCTTTTTTGAGAGCATTCTAAGTGAGTGGCTCCAGGGCTACAAGCTTGGTATAAGGTTTAAGTGGGAGCTGGTGTTGCACTGTGTCACGTTTGTCAGAAACAAGCTTTAGATAATGGCCTCAAATACTTTGTTTAATGCTGCCCATAGACAAGACTGTTTCTGCATTTCCAGTTGTGCATGAGCTCTTTTGTGCACCTGATATGGTGAATGTGATGCTTCTGATGGATACTTTAAAAAATAAACTAGAAATGTAAGTTTCTCGCCCTCATGATCAGAAATATATTCTATGTCTTATGATTTTGAATTGTTTTTAATGCCTACTACAAAGGTCTTCTTTTTATTTCCCCTATGTTGTGGTCTTTTGGCATACTTCTTTTCAAGTAGAGCATAAATAGCTTTGTGTATGCATAGCTGATTTTTATAATTAATATCCCATGCTGGACACTGATTTAGGTTTTGTTGCTCTTTATCAAGGCTGCAGGAGAAAAGAGAGCTGCCCCAGATTCTGGCAAGAAGCCCAAGACTCCAAAGAAGAAGAAAAAGAAAGACCCCAATGAGCCACAGAAGCCAGTGTCAGCATATGCCCTGTTCTTCAGGGATACACAAGCAGCAATTAAAGGGCAGAACCCCAATGCTACCTTTGGAGAGGTTTCAAAAATTGTAGCGTCTATGTGGGATAGCCTAGGAGAAGAGCAGAAGCAGGTAACCAAGGGACCCTTTGGAGTTTTGGGGGAGAAAGGGGTGATGCACTGAAAGATGTCAAAGTCCTAATTAAACACTAGTGGGCTGATCCTTTTGACTTCATTAATTAGAAATGCAGCAGCACGGGTTGGAGCACAGTTATGCTTCCTATCAACCCAGCTAAGGATCTGGCTTCATATCAGCCCCTTGTCATTCTCTGATTGCAGTGGTAGTAGTAAGGTTGCAATATTTTAATTGACTTGATTGATCGATTAATCAATGAAAAACACTTTTGACCGGCTAAACAGTTCCTGATTTATTGGACAGTGGAGCATTGCACTGCAAAATATTGCTTTGAATGTAAGTACTTACTAAAAATGCAAGGACCGTCTTAAGAGGCATTCACTGTTCCCTAATGCATGAAAGAGCATTTAGTAATGGGTTTACCCCTTTAATGACAAGGCTCAGAGGCAGAGCACTAACCTTGCATGTGGATGGTCCCAGGTCAAATCCTGGCTGTCTCCAGTTAGGACTTCTGTCTAAAACCATGGAGACTTGCTGCAAGTCAGTGAAGACAGTACTGAACTTAGATGGACCAGTGGTCTGGTTTAAGGCAACTTCATACGTCCATGTTCTTAAAATCTCAGTGAGGGCTGAACGGAACTCAAGAGAGAACATTTCACAGGCAAGTTCAGAACATCAATGAAAACGAGGTGAACTTGCTTGTGAAATGTTCTCTCTTGAGAGGTTACTGCTTTTATATAGCAAGTAAATTTTGTAATTGTGATGACATCACTGGGAGCAAACAAAACCCATTGAGTGCAAGGCCTGTTCCCTTACTCTGTGTTGGCTTAATTTATGCTCTGTGACATCATCACATAGTCATTTCTAATTGGCTATGAAACTGCTTCCAGTAAGCGATATAATAAATGGAGTCAAAGATTTTTTTTTAATCATCTCAGCTCCAACTCCTTCCCATTTTAATGCTGAAAATGTACACAGTAGCAGTTTGGCTCGTTACTTTAAAGGAGAGGAGGGATGGGAGTCACACACTTTTGTGAACCTTTTTGTTGCAGAGTTGCAGAGTTGGCATTGTCCCTTTTGACTTTCTTCATTTTACAAGACCATAACATCCCTCTTCGGGCAAGAGCTACTTTATGGTGTGAAATTTAAACACTGAAGGTGGTGTTAATTGCAATGTCTTTTAACAGGTATATAAAAGGAAAACAGAAGCTGCCAAGAAAGAATACCTTAAGGCACTTGCTGCCTACAGAGCAAGTTTGGTTTCCAAGGTGAGCTCGAGTCTGACTTCAGTTATGCATCCAGTAGTGCAATGCCTTCAGTGTGGATTCTTTTCACCTTATAAATAAATAAGCAGAGAGTTTGTTTTTTTAACCAGCCTTATCTTTGGGGAAGGACAGTAATCTAGAGGCTCTTGCTTTGCATGCAGACGGACTGAGACTAAGTCCCTGGTATATCCATCTTTTATTCCTGTGTTGTAGAGGTTTGGATTAGATGACTCTTTAGGACCTTCCAACTCTACAATTGCATTATTCCACTTACAAAAATCAGGTTGCTTTGCTCTCTGTGCAACCAAGACATCTTGCAGATTCATTCATTCATAATTTTATTTGTATGCCACTTTTCCACAAAAGAATCGTGTCCGAAGTGACTTACATCAAAGAAGACAGGAATAGGTCTCAAAATCAATCATTGCAAATCACAGCTTCATAACAGAACAACAACAACATAATAACAAATATAACAACATACCAGAAAACAGCACAATTTCAGTACTATAAATATAACTGGGCACTATCCATTTGGAAAAAGAAGAGAAATGGTCTTTGAGTAAAGCACTGCAAAACCATAGAGCATGTTACAAGGCGGTGTAATATCACGGTACTGTACATGCTGCATTATTTATTGAACAAAGCTCTCGTGAAAGCTCTTATAATAAACAGCAGTATGAGACTTGGCAATTTATTCTTTTGCAGAAGCGATTTGGTATCTGCAGAAATCAGAACCCGATGCAGAGCGAGTCTGTGAGGTGTAGTAGGTTGTCTTGGGCTTTGCTTGTGGGTTTCATATCCCTGATCAGCTAAGCTATCTTATATTTGAGGGCTCCTCCATTCTACCAATTAATACTTGCAAGGAAATAGAATCTTGGCAACAGGCTCCTCCTTGATGCCTTAAAAACATCCAGTCCTCCCCCTCCAAATGTCCCGAAAAGGCTCTAGCAGTGGTTATATGGATAAAGGATGTGTGTGATAAAGGTGTATTAAATGATGCATTATTATTACTGTTCTTCATTTACTTTGTTAGTCCTTTTATCTTGCTCATGGCAACCCAAAGCAACTTACAAGCAAGCAAGCAAACAAAAACCTACATAGATACATTAAAATGGGTGTGTGTGTGTGTGTGTGTGTGTACATTTAAGACACCGCACCCACTTCTAAAAGGTCACAGATAGTTAAAGGCCAAAGGCCTGGTTATAGAGGGGAAGTTTTCTCTGAGGTCCTAAAGATATCTAAAGATGGCACCAGGCAACCGACCCTGGAGAGAGCATTCCACAAAAGAGGAGCCACTGCAGAAAAGGCGCATTCTTGTGTTACCACCTTTTGGACCTCTTGTGGAGGAGGTACACAAAGAAGGGCCTCTGATCATGATCACAGGGTCTGGGTCAGTTCATATGGATGCATGAAGGTGAATAGAAGTTTTATCTCCTTCCCTCATAAAAATGGAACCTGGAAGGGCCGGAGATTCAGAATAGAAAATAATAATAATGTTCTTCTTCACACAGTGCATAATTAAATTATGCAGTTCTCTAATTTGTAGTGATGACCACCAGCTTGGAGGGCTTTAAAACATGGATTATACAAATTTTTGGGTGATAAGGCTATATATGCCTACTAGTCATGATGGCTATGTAATACCTCCAAGCATCAGAATGCCTCCAAATGCTATTTTCTGAAAAACATGAGGGGGGAACAGTGCTATCGCACTCATGTCCTGCTTCCTGTTGGCTACTGGTTGGCCATTGTAAGAACAGAACCCAGCACTAGATGTACCTTTGGCCTAATGCTCTTCTGATGTTCCTAAAATGGACAGTTGCCTGACCAGTTATTGATATGACTTAAAGGATGTTGCCTTATAAGCTGGTTTGGTGAGTTGCCTTGATGGAAAAATTAACAAATAATCTGTGACTGGCTAAAGGAACGAAATTCTTTCCCCCCACAAACTGGAACTGTTTAGGAAAGCAAAGCTGAAGTAAAAAGATACATTCCCACAGTATAGAAAAGTTTCTGGCTGCTATGAACACAATGGACTTGAATCTTGTTACTTCCTGATGGGTTTTACTGATGGATTAATGTTTTTTGTTTTTTGTTTTTGCTTGCCTTTTGTTTTAGTTTAGGCACCCCTTGTGTCCTCCCTGAAATGGGAAGGGGGTTGTTCTTTGTTATTAAAATTGTGTTAAAGTGTTTCTTTTTTCATTATTAATAAAGAGAAAGGAAGAAAAAGGGAAAGATGCCAAGGATCCTATTACAAGCTCTGCGAGAGAAATGCAAATGTGACAAATATAAATATAAATGTATAAATATAAAAACATATAAGGTGGCCCCTGTATTAACTGTCATGAACTTCTCTTTCTTAAATGCAGGCTGCTGCTGAGTCAGCTGAAGCCCAAACAATCCGTTCTGTTCAGCAAACGCTGGCGTCTACAAACCTGTCCTCGTCCCTCCTTCTCAACGCCCCTCTCTCCCAGCACGCAGCCGTGGCCACTTCTCCACAGACTCTCCAGCAGTCGCTCCCCAGGGCAATCGCCCCCAAGCCTCTAGCCATGCGGCTGCCCATGAATCAGATAGTTGCCTCGGTCACCATTGCGCCCAACATGCCCACAAACATTTCCACCTCGCTGATAAGCTCAATGGGAAGCAGCATGGTGGGCACGTCGGCATCGGCGCCCTCCCAGGTCAGCCCTTCCTTGCAGAGCCAGCAGCACCAGTTGCAGCAGCTGCAGCAGCTGCAGCAGCAGCAGATGCAGCAGCAGCAGCTCCACCAGCAGCACATGCATCAGCAGATCCAGCAGCAGATGCAGCAGCAGCATTTCCAGCACCACATGCAGCAGCACCTGCAGCAGCAGCAGCACCTGCAGCAGCAGCTGAGCCAACAGCAAATTCAGCATCAGTTGCAGCACCAGCTCCAGCAGATGCAGCAGCAGCAGATGCAGCACCTGCAGCAGCAGCAGCAGCAGCAGCACCAGTCGCAGCCTTCACCTCAGCAACATTCCCCAGTGGCCTCACAGATCACTTCTCCGATCCCCAGCATTGGGAGCCCCCCGCCAGCCCCCCAACAACACCAGTCCCAAATACAAACCCAGACACAGACTCAGCTATTATCGCAGGCCAGTATTTTCTGAAGACACATGTTGCAAAGCTGCTTTGCATTGTGAGTTAGGCAAAGAGGGACTGTTTACGGCTGGAAACTGTACATTGCTGTTGGTAGTTATGCAGGGATGCATAACAGATGAGTGAGCCTCTAAGCTGTCTATTAGATAGGCAATAAAGAACTACAATGTAGCTGTGTATATTCATTTAGCTGACTATAAATATTTGTTTCCCCCCCCCTCTTTCCGATCTTTTTAAAGAAAATGCTGTGCTCTCTTGTTTTCTTTATTTATTTTGAGCTTTACCCATAATATGTGAACTACATAGTCTTGGATATGCCTGGGCAGTGAAACGAAAAAGTTTTGGCCTTTTTCACAGTTCCAGATTAAAACTGATTAGTGAATGCACTTCAAACCAGTTTGGGTTTTTTTGTTTGTTTGTTTTTGATTTTTTGTTCATGAAGTCCTAAAAAGCACAGTTGTAACTACCTGTAAAATGTTGATTGGATTCCATGCAATCACACTCGTATGACATGAGTAGTTGACGGTGTTTTCCTCTGTCATATATATATAAAAATATAAATATATATATAAAGATTAATGTAAAAATCATAGACTTTTGCCAAAGCTCCTTTTTCTCTTTTTAATATGTCTCCAGAAGGGGGAGGGGGGGAAACCTGCAAGTGAAAGTTCTTAAATATCAGAGCCCATCTTTACCATCAAAGCTATAATTTCTCTAAACACTTACAGTGCTTTGTTACAAAATATATTCTTACCCTGTTCTGTTCATTCCAAGTTGTTGTTGTTTTTTTTAAAAAAGGATGTGAATATTCTATCCTGTGTTTGGGTGACAACTTTCAGATTTAATACACTGTATTTTTTAAAAAAGGAAATGCACTTAAATGCACTGTTATTACAAAAAAAAAATAGGTAAGAAGGAAAAATGTGAGTTTTTAAAAAATATATGCTGTAATACCAGTAGACTATTTAAAAGAATTGCTACATCTGAATAATCAGTGTAAATATTTCCTTTAAAAAATTGTAAGTTTTTCATATCATGTGTTGTAAAGTTTTCATAAATGAGGCTTTAATGTAAACACTGGTAACATGAATGATTTAACTGCAATATTGCTTACTGTGTTTTTATGCTGTTTTTATACTTTTTTATGAGTTATAATAGCAGCAATTGAGTTGTTTGTATTTTGCTTATCTAAAACAAATGCTTTTATCTTGCTATAGAATAAACACATTTCAGTAAAAAAGAAGGAAAAAATCCAACCACATACCCCCAGTGTTTTGCAAAACTGAAATCAGCTAATCCTTAACCCTTTGAACAAAATACCAGCTTGCCCGTGCTACACCTCCTCTTCATACCATAACATTAAGCAGGGCTGTACATAGCCACCTCAAATCTGGTTTGTTGCCTGATTCAACCTAGTATGACCTGATCTAATTGGTATTAATTTAATTAGTATTAGTTTAATTGGTATTTTAAATCCTGATGTTTGTGGTGGCAAAGGCGTTAAAAGTAGGCCAGGTGAGAGTTTCTATCTACATCTCCCACCCACCCCCTTCACCTTGGTACTACCCCCATGTTTAATTAGGGTTTAAAACCCTAATTAAACGTGGTTGCCAAAACACCACTACTCTCAAGATTGCTCAGGGTGCACCTGATCGAACCCAGAGCAATTGGCCCAATTCAAGTTGGAATTTGTCCAGACCTGGATCATAGCCCTAACATTTACACTGGCATCCAAGGCTGCGCTCACTAATACAGTGTCATCCAAACCCAAGATCCAATGGGATGAGTGAGTTTAGAATAGGTGGATTGCTGAGTGAGCCTGGGCCAGGAAGCCCCTCATTGCAGCCCAGCTGGAGATTCACCGGGGTAAGTCTCTTAGCCAGGGTTCTACCAAAACCAGCAGAACCAAGAGTAGGGTAATCTTGCAAAGGGGCATTCTGGGGGGTGCAGCAGGGGCAGACTTGCATCTGTTCAAAATCCCTGTCGACTTAGCAGAACTTGACACTGGCAAAAAGGATGGTGAAAGTTCAAACTTTACTTCAAAGGCTTGTTTTCCCTCAGCCAGCTTTGGGTTGTCTCAGCCAGCAGCTGTCCTGCTCCTGAATGGAGTTTGGCATATGCCAGTTTATGCTAAATGGGTGTAAGTTCTGCCAGTGTCCTAGCTAGAACAGCTCTGTTAGTGTGCCTCCACCATGGCAGGTTCACCTTAAACAAGGCAAGCTTAAGCTATAAACAAACTTGATATCATATGGAGGCCACAGTCTTTCTCTGAGCTCAAATGAACCACTCCTGCAGCAGTGCAGGCTTTACCTGGAATCTGGAAAGATCTGGATGAAGCCAGAAGCACTTGCATATGTCAGAAGTTGGATGTGCTATTGAAAACTAGAGTCTATTTAACATGGTCTGCATCAGCCTTTCTCAAGTTGGTTGTCGTGTGGATGTTATTGGGTTCTAATATTATTAGCATCAGCCAGCACATGACCAATGGAAGGTGTAATCCAAAAACACTGGGGAGCGATGGTCTGTATTAAGCCCTTTTGCCACCACCATCAAAAGGGAAGTCCCAACTCCTGTCACTTCAATGGAGGGTCCTTACAGCTAGGAAAGGAAAAGGACAATAGACTGCATTTGGGGTGCAGGAGGATGACTGAGTGAGCAGCAACCACAAATCATGAACGGGGAATGCAGAGGTTTTCCAGAGGGGGAGAGTATCAAGACGGGGACTGCAGACTTCGCTGGGTGGCTATTCTGCCTGCCTCATCTCAAAAAGGGTATTGTAGAGTTGGGAAAGGTTGAGAAGAGGGCAACGAAACTGATCTAGGGGATGGAGCACCTTGCCTTTGAAAGGTTGCAGGGTTTGGAACTTGCAAGTAAGAGGCGACAAGATAGACGTTTCAATCATCAATCATGACATGGCGAAGGTTGTTCTCTCATAACACTAGAATTTATGGACATCCAATGAACCTGCATGTTGGAAGATTTTGGACGGACACAAGAAAGCCCTTCATGCAGTGTGTAGTAAAACTGTGGAGCTCGTTCCCACAGGAGGCAGAGATAAAGACGGCTTCCAAAGAGGCCTGGACAAATGCATGGAAGAGAAGGCTATCAATATTATGGTTGCAGCCTTAATATTGGAGGTGGTAATGCTTCTGAATACCAGTTGCTGGAAATCACAGAAGGAGAGCATGCTTGTGTGCTTGAATACTGCTTACTGGTTTCCCACAGGCATCTGGTTGGCCACTGTGAGCACAGGATAATGCCCTAGCTGGGCCATTGGCCTGACTCAGCAGGCTCTTCGTATGATCTTATAACTGCCTGTGTCAGAGCTTCTTTGGCACCTGATAAATTATCTATTCAGGATGCTGCTGTGTTTAGAATTTGTTTTGGAGGTGCAGCGAAGGAGATATGGTTTTAATATTTTGTCATGGCCACTAGCACATTGGAACACTTGTCGTATATATCAGAAATGACTGTCAAGGCATATTACAGTCAGGAAAAAAGAGGTTAAAGAAAATATGTTGGTCTCTCTGGGAAGTTTTGCACTGGAGATGCTTCTCCAAGGAAGGAATCTCCAGCTGATCTGCCCTTTAGGGTTAACCTTGCAAGTGAAATGGAATTTTACTGAAGCACTCTTGACCCCTTGACAGCATCTGCTGAAAGACGCTAGAAACTTGTAGCAAATTCCCAATGCTTCCTGCCTGTCTCTTGATTTTGCATAGGGCTCAAGCTTGTGCTGTTCATCACCCATAACAGCCTAAGATGAAGCAGTAAGTGGAGGTCCAGGGTGGCAGCAACTTTGCCCTCTTTTTCTTGCTCCAATGTAAAATTTCTCGCCTGCTTCTAACCCCTGTAGTTATATATATGTGGCTTCTGCCTATCTTCCCATTCAGCTGCACTTCACATTGCAAAATGGCTTCTCAAGCATCTGAGAAAAGAGGTTTCCCATGAAGGAGGTAGGGGGAAGCCAGGATAGTATTGATCTCGGCTACCCTTAAATGTTAAGGCAATGGGGGACATTTAAAGTGCTAGCCTCTCCTAGCCTCCAAAGCTGCACGTGAATTGGCGTATTTCCCTTAGGCATGGTGGCTAAATCCAGGAAGATATTTTTGAAATATTAAGCGCTTTATAAATGCTTTTGAATAGATAATTACACAAATAAGCTGGGATGGTGCCTCGTAGCAGCTCACACTAACAGGTTATCTCCACTGGATTGCTTCATATACTTTCATACATGGGAAAATTGGTCTGGCATATGAATTCTTCGGCCTAATTTTGACTGCTTTGCAGGGATGCAACATTCAGTTAGTTAATTAATTCCTTTAAAAACAAGAACGAAAAACCCTCCTATGCATGCCTATTTGGAAAGAAGTCCCATTATATTATCTGGAGTTTTGGATTACCAGCTTGGCTCTTCTTCTTCTTCTTCTTCTTCTTCTTCTTCTTCACTAAAAGCATAAGCATGTAAGAAGACCTCCACTGGATGCATTCAAGCATTCCTAGAGTCATAGAACTGCAGAGTTGGAAGGGGCCTAAATGGTGATCAACCCTCCCTCCTGCGTTTATCTTGTCCAGAACTGTAGTGTCCAATCAAAAGCCTCAGTGATGTCCATAAACAGGCATGGAGCTAGTAACCATCTCCCATTGTTCCACAGCAGGCATGCTGGTACTCAGTGACATATATCCATCATGATTGCCACTTTAATTTCTTCAATAAACCATTTAATTAATTTCAGTAACAATTTTGAGTTCGTAGTCTTTCTTAATGTCTCAGCTGGGGATACGGGGTAATTTTGAGGCCAGATTTGCACCTGACGGGACTCAATAATATTTTGCTGTCAGTGGGGAAAATGCAGAGTGGCTGTGGATTTGGGAACTACCTGCAAACAAACAAGGGGAAAGGCCATAGTTCAGTGGCAGAGGCAGATCACATGCAGAAGAACCCAGATGCAAGCCCCAGCTTCTCTTGGTAGGTCTGAGAAAGATTCTCCATCTCAAACTTTGACTTTCTACTAGTCTATGTAGGCAATAATGAGCTAGATGGACTAATGTTTACAGAAGTGTCCATAAAAATGAAGGCAGTGAAAATAGCATACAAAAATGCATTATATTAGAAAAAGTTGCTTGCAAAAACGTGCACGTTAGTCAAAACTGCATATAAAAATGTGTTCAGAGAAATTGGCGCCAAAATGATGAACTTTCATGAGCATTTTTGCACTAAAATGATGGTGGATTATCATAAGGTTTTATAAAAGAAACCATCTGCAATTGTTGCAACATGTGGAGAACTGAATTGTAAGACTGGGAAAATGAGAAATGGAGAGAGCTGAAATGAGCAGATTACTCCCAGGTAAGTGTGCATAGGATAGCATCCTAACAGACTTTTCTTCCTTTTAAAAGCACCGAAACCATTAGCTATCTTGCAACAGCACATCCCATAAATTATGTGCTATGTGAAGAACTAATTCCATTGTCTGTCATGAATCAGGTTTCAATCCTAATATCCTGGCAATTGGCAGTGGTGTGTCAGATGACTACTCCCCACCCCCAGACCATGCTCATCCACCAGTATATTTGCAGTTTATCCACCTGACAACCTTGTGAGGTAGATTGGGCTGAGAGATGGTGACAAACCCAAGGTCAGTAAACAAGTCCCATGGCTGTGCGGGTATAAGAACCTGGATTGACCCCATGGTCAATATTACCCTGGCTCTATATTCCATTGAGTTCAAGACAGCTTCCTCCCAAAATGTAGTGTTTGATGTGGTGGGGCAGAGCCACATAGCTGCCCTCTCAATGCCACCACCACTACAGCTGGGGTGGGGTGGAAAGTTAGGAATTTCAGGGTTGTGTGGAACCACTGGTAGGAGCACTACATTGACTTTACTGGAAAATCCATGCAGTCCTGATCTTGCTAGCACATTGCCCCAACCCAGCTCCATCTAGGGAAGCTACAGCATTGGCAGCGTTGGAAAAGTGGTTCCAGAGCTCTACGCCACCAGCGCGGTTGCTACCGATCCCAATTTATTTTGCATGAGGTTGCAGCCTTAATATGATTCTGATGCTGTTATTATTTAAACACAAATAACCCTATAGTATGAGGTCAAAGCCCACCTAGTTCAGCATCCTGTTCTCGCAGTGGCTAACCGGGTGCCTGTGGGAAGCACAACAGCACTCTCTCCACTTGCAATTCAGAGGCATGACAGGGAAGGCCAGAGGCAGGCCTAGGGGTTGGAAAAAGCATCCCCCGCCAGAGGTGCAGGCCCGGGGCTGGTGGCACAATATCACCTCTCAGACTATGGAGCGTATGACGTATATCTATGCGGCAACACAACGCCACTGTTGCCGCAAGATCAAACGCAGGAGAAGCTTCCTTCTCGTACCATGGCACAAAGGCATGCCATGAAGTGATTTTGGGGGGGTGGTGGTGGTGCCAATACAGTTCCTTGCCAAGGGCACACAGGACCCTAGGTACGCCTCTGGTGGAGGCAATGATAGCCATGGCTGCTAGTTGCCATTAACAGTCTTATGCCCCGTGAATTTGTCTTGGAGAGGCATGATAATCACCAGAAACCCTAGGCAGCATCTGAGTGAAGCACTGCTCTCCCCTCTTGCGATTCCCAACAACTGTTCTTCTGAGGTTTACTGCCTCCAACAACGGAGGTAGAACATAGTCATCCTGCCTCGTAACCACTGGTGGTGTTGATGTTGGTTGTTAGCACCAGCACGCTCACTTATTTTCACTTGTTGTATTTATTTTAACAAATCAGGGAGGGAGAACACATATTTCCCACTCTACTGCTTCAGGGTCTGTGCCTTTGCTGCCAACGCGCCAGCATGCATTATGCATTCATGTTCCAAAGGATCTCGAGGATTCTGTTGTATTCACATTTCTCCCTCCCTCCCTCCCCCCACTCCCTCCCCCTGCACTAGGAGAGCAGTTTGACCACTATCCCCAGTTGTCTTGCATGATTAATTACAGCATCTGTCCTGTCAGAAGCTATAATGAAGAGGTCTTGATAAAAATTGCAAATTACCACTGGCAACAATCTTAAAACTGCTTATGATAAAATGAAAATTAAAAACAGCAAGCGAGGAGCCTGAGTCGAATCCTAATCTGAAAAAGAATGAGGCTGAGCAGAGGTGGTGTCCATGGCTACTGTTCATGAGACACACAAACCGGGGGGTTGGGGGGGGGGAGAGAAATACAAATCCACCCGGTTTTCCATTCAAAGCTGCAATCCACGGAGAGAGAGAAAAGTCCATTCCTGTTCCCCTTTTTGCTCCCATGGAACTTGAAGGAGTGCTTGGTAGATGGTAGGGACAGGTGGACGAGTCCATTTTGGCTCCTCTCGGTTTCTCATTTGACACCAATTTTAAATTTAATTCTTCACATTTCCACATCCATTTGTGATTTTTTTTTTAAGTTCCCACACAAATTTATCAGCATTTTAGTGTGAATTTTTCCTAATATACATATTTTTGTATGAAATTTGGCACAATATACACGTTTGCAGAACAACTTCTCCAAATATAACACATTTTGTATGCTAGTTTCACTAATATATACACACATTTCACCTACGTTTATTTATTTCTTTTTACAGAGTACTTGGCTGGAGAACTGTGCTACAAAATTCAGAGATCTGCAGATTTCAAAGAATGGCTGTGTTTCAATTTACATATTGTTTTGGGAAAGTACGAATTAGGTAAGTTTGTGTTTCAATGCAGACTGAGTTGAATTTGTAAAGATAGGGCATCACTACTGAATAGGTCCTAATTTCAGTCTTCACTCACTTGACCTCTGATGGGGGTGTGAACCAAAGTTACTTTTCTGACTCAGTATTCAGGAAGGCCCCATAGAGAAGGAAGTGGTCATTGAGGTATACTGGTCCTAAGTTATATAAGGATCCCAAGATCAAATAGACAGTATTTCACAAAAGCCAATGTTTGTAATAGCAGCCCTATTCAGGTGTTGGGTCTACTCACAATCAGAGGACATGGAAAAAAAGGAGTAGGGTCACGCACCAAAGTCTCCCTGTCCTCTCTACTCCCAAAGCACAAAGCTTTGAAGTGAGATTTTTTTAAAAAATGAGCATTCAGTAAAGGGTAAAAGGTAAAGGACCCCTGGATGGTTAAGTCCAGTCAAAGGCAACTATGGGGTTGTGGCGCTGATCTCGCTTTCAGGTAGGATGCTCTTAGAATCCTCCCCATAATCTAGAACCTGGAGCAATATATACCGTATTTTTCTGTGTATAAGACTATATTTTTTCCTAAATTTTTGAAGTTTAAAATAAGGGGTCGTCTTATGCACGGATAGTGCATTTTCTTTATTTTGAGTCCCCAAAAATAGGGGGCATCTTATGCACGGAAAAATACGGTAATTGCAAGGAAGATTCTAAGCACAGTCAGGTGAACATGCTTAGAATCCCTTTTCCAACCTTCACGCTGCAGGCTTAAATGTCAGAAGAGGAATGATAGGAATGGAGATATTGGGATGTGGTTGGCAGTTCACAGTTCCTGAGCTGTTCCTTAGTGCACATGGCATGTAGCTAAACCCAACACCTGAACAGTGCTCATTTTACCATGCTGTCTAATAAATTTGGAGGAGGATAATACTTAATTGCAACAAGAAAAACAATCAAGTGAAGCACGCCAAGAGCCATTGAAATGAATGAGGGTGGTGCAGAAGCACTTGTGTTCTGAAGCTCCCATTTATTTTAATGGAGCCTGCATGGGAGAACTCCCCATGGGATTGTGTCCAATTTAGTTTTTAACCCATGTGTCAGTTTCAACTAACTTAATGTAGCAATCAGTGCCCCTCTTGGAGCTTCTGAAATCTCTTAACCAACCTCTTCAACAAAGAAAAGCTAAACCGCAAGTGACAGGAATTGTGTATATGGCCTGTAATTGTGTTCTTGAAGAGCCAGGATGCATCTTTGGGAAAATGTCACAAGTGATAAGGGTTAATGCCAACAGAAGTCTGTTTTCTACAGTTTGGAGGAAGAAGCAGGTGCAAGTCTACTCATTAAAGGATTTAATAAATCCCGGGTTTTATCACACGTGATGAAGGGCTGAAGATCTGTTGATCAGTTCTGAGACAGGGGAAATAGTAATCACCAAAGCAGCTGAACATAGGCTGTGATCCTAAACACAGTTAAGCACATTGAACATGGTGGGAGTCACATCTGAGTAAACATACATAGGATTGCCCTTTTAAAGTAGCAAACATTGAAGTGGATGTGTACGTTTAAAATCAAGCCTTTTCCCTCTCTGGCCTCTTTCACGGCAAACATTTAAAGCACAGTGATAGCACTTTAAACAGCCATGGCTTCCCTTGAGGAATTCTGGGAGCTGTGGTTTGTTATGGGTGCTGAGAGTTGTTAGGAAACCCCTATTCCCCTCATGGAGCTGCAGTTGCCAATCTCAGAGAATCAGTCTCAGGGAAATTGGGGAACAGTAGCTCTGGGAGGGAAACGGGGTCTCCAAATAACTCAGCACCTTTAACAAACTACAGTTCCCATAATTCTTTGGGGGAAAGCCATTACTGTGCTTTCATAGTGCTTTAACTTTATGGTGTGAATGGAGCCAGTTTGTTAAGTTTACATATACCTTATCCTGGTTAATATGTGCCATTATTGCACACACACATGCTCACTTGCATCATAAACACCCATGTTGCATCTTTTATGTTTCATTAACTCAGCAATCCAAATATGGTTTGTATGTTGGGTAGACCTGAGTTCATTATGTGCATTGATTTCAATGGGTTGACTTAGAGCACAGTTAACACTGGGCACGGCCCTGTGTGTATAGGAGAGATTCCCAGGGATGTATAGTATTACATCCTTTTTGGAAGGGAGGTGAGGTGCCTTCAGATCCTGTGAATCCACGGACACACCAACTCCTCCCTCTCCAAGAGTGACCTACTTTGGTCCTCACAGCTGATTGAACACTGCTGGCAAGACATCCATGCTACTGGAACTTCCCATGAATGGACCAGGGTGCCTTTGATGGTGTAGGTGTTCTTCTGGTGATGGGCCTTTGCTTGGCTGCAGTATGGTACCCTTTACCCTTTTCACCTGCTAGAGATCAAAAATATCCCAACGAACTGGGGGTGCAATCCTGCACACCATTCTACCTCTGCCACTGTGGATTTCACCATAGTTCAGTGCTGCAACTCTATGGAGAGATCATAACATAGCCTTAAACTGTATTGATGCGCAATGTTGTGGTGGAACAGTGCAGTGCGTAAGTGATTTCTCTCTTTTTCTCTCTTTGCCCGACACCTGTGAAATCATGTTTTCCGTCCTATCATTTATAAGTACTCCCCCCCCCTTTTCCCAGGGTTTCTTCACTTTATCACCCCAGTTAACTACATTCTGCTTCAACATTAACCTAGGCTGACATATGATGAAAGAACATAAGGAGTTTTCATTTTTAGCTGAAACGGGGTCATTAGTCTCCAACCACAAACAAAAGCTTTAAATACCTTTATCGGGCAAAGTTTCCATGATATATTATCTATCACCTGACCATTGTAGCTGGAAGGGGTCTCCTTACCTCCCCTCCCCTTTTTGGAGACAGATGGATTAAATATTTCAAGTTTAACCAGGGAGATGCCACACAATGGGTTTTTTTAGACTTATGAATAGCACCGTTCCCCATTTCTCACTTCATGGAGTATTTCTGCAGCCCTGGACTTCATTCTAACCCTTTCCCTCCCTGCTTTGTTTGTCTTTTGTTTCGCAACAGCTGTTATTATCGTTTTTTGGTCAGCTGTGATTGCTGGAGGCAAAAGAGGACCAGATGGTGTTTTGCGATGCATGAATGGCAAGTCAGAGGAGCCTGGATTGAATAGGCCAAGTCTGAATGGTGTCTATGCACCACCTGCCTCCTTCAACAGCAGCAGCGCAGATCACAGAAGTATGATCTGTCTCAGACCAACCCACATCAGAGGGGGAATGAAGAGAGCCTTGTTGGGTTTTCTCCATATTTATTGATCTTCCATGCACTAACAACATAATGCGGTGCACAGTCAATTTGAATTAATTGGATATGACACAGCGTGCGCATGTAATCTATCACTGTAGTCGTCTGGTACGCTATGGGGATTTCCCCCCCTGTCACAGGAACATGTGAATCTGTAACAATGTGCATTAATTAACAGAGGAGACAGGAGCAACACGAGAGAATGTCGGCTTAAGCAAATGTCATTTTAGCTGGCCTTGTGACGCATTTTTATACACGTATTTATATCATTAATTTATATCTATGAACTGCACCTCCGACCCTCAATGCAGCCTACAAAAAAGCAAGGAAGAAAATGCTTAAAAAAATAAAATCAACATGTAACCATACTTTAAAATAAACACACACACGCACGCACACACACACACACACACACACACAAAGACACAGCCACAGATTGAACAGGAACAAAGGGTATATTTGTGTCATACCACTGTACCACTTTAAAAACACTTGGGTTCCCCCAAAGAATTCTGAGAGTTGTTAGGAGACCCCTTTGTTCCCCCCGCAGAGCTACAACTGCTAATGTGGACCTGAAGTAAGGGTTTCAAGTTATAAGAACTTTCTGACTGCAAGAGCTGTTTGACAGTGGAATGGAATCACATGGAAGGTGGTGAACTCCCCTTCCTTGGAGGTTTTTAAGCAGAGGTTAGATGGCTGACTGTCATGGATGTCTTGGTTGTGATTCCTGTACAGTGGTACCTCAGGTTACAGACGCTTCAGGTTACATACGCTTCAGGTTACAGACTCCGCTAACCCAGAAATAGTACCGCGGGTTAAGAACTTTGCTTCAGGATGAGAACAGAAATCGTGCTCCGGCAGCACGGCGGCAGTGGGAGGCCCCATTAGCTAAAGTGGTACCTCAGGTTAAGAACAGTTTCAGGTTAAGAAAGAACCTCAGGAATGAATTAAGTTCTTAACCCAAGGTACCACTGTATTAAGCAGATTAAACGTATCCATTCTGAAGGAAATCAGCCCTGAGTGCTCACTGGAAGGACAGATCCTGAAGCTGAGGCTCCAATACTTTGGCCACCTCATGAGAAGAGAAGACTGAGAAGACTCCCTGGAAAAGACCCTGATGTTGGGAAAGATTGAGGGCACAAGGAGAAGGGGATGACAGAGGACGAGATGGTTGGACACTGTTCTCGAAGCTACAAACATGAGTCTGACCAAACTGCGGGAGGCAGTAGAAGACAGGAGTGCCTGGCATGCTCTGGTCCATGGGGTCATGAAGAGTCGGACACGACAAAACGACTAAACAACCCCTGTATTGCAGGGGTTTGGGCTAGATGACCCTCTGTATCCCTACCAACTCTACAATTCTATGATTCAGTTAGTTTCCTCATGCAATCCATTAACGTGGCAAATCAGCATGAGGCATGAAAGTTCCGGAATGTTCCAGAAACATAGGTAGAATTCGTATTTGGTTTTCCTTCCAGTTGCTAGGAAGAGCTTTCTTTTTATAACTTTTTTTAAAGGAGAAGCTTTCACTTTATAACATAGGTTTCATATGAAAAGTATTGTTACTGAACAAAAGTAGTGCCTAAATAAAGAAATGGAATCGAGGGGAAGGGAGTGACATCTGGGGAAATATTCATGACTGAAACACATTAAGTCAGATGATGATGTGATCTGGCATTTGCTAATCAATAACTGAGGAGTGACACCAGTGTTCCTATTTGATTAACCTTTTGCCTCAGGCTTAGATATGAAGTCAAATTCATGCAAAACCAGGGTTGGGGGTGGATGCATGCATGCACATGGTTTTGTTTGTTTTTTTGCAAAGTTTTCATGAATAGTTCAGCGGATATTTTTGTGCTCATTATCTGAAGTTGTGTTTTGTATTTATGTTTGGTGTATGTGCTGGAACAATGTGTTTGTCTAACAGTAAAGCAAAATACACATACTGTTCTGTTCCTCCCTCGAGTTCCAAGGTTCTTGAGGAGAACAAGCAGAAGTTGTATAGCCGTTAAGTGAAGTTTTAGTGCCTGACTCTAAAATGCATTAGGGCTCCAAGTCTCTTCTCTCTTTCTTCTCCTGCCCTTCCATTTTTACCTCTTTTCTTTTTCACCATTTTAGACTTTAGGGGTCCCTCCGTGGAATGAACGGCACTTTGACAGAATTCAAGAGTGGCAGCCGATTCTGAGAATGCCTCTGCGATATTTTTGCGGAGTAAATAAATGCAGGGGTGCCTTTCTCCTTGTCAACTTCTCCTGGGCTAAAATCATCATTAACACAAAAGTGGATGGTGTGGAACAGAATACACAGGTGAAAATTAGAAGGGGAGAAACAAAGGCTGTGGCAAGTTTGTGGCGCTGTTTCCAAGATGCAGGCCTAGAGCTTTAAACATGGCACTAAGCGAAATTTGCATTCGGTCAAGTGATGAAGCAGGACTCTACATTGACCTGGGTAAATAATTCACATCATCATAATTATTAGCTTGCAGGATTTAAATAGGGCTAAATGTGTGTGTGTGTGTGCGTGTGTGTGTGTGTGCGCGCGCGTGTTCCAGGCCCAGTTTAGAGTGTTTGTCATCATACAGTAGCTGAATGTCTTCTGTTTTCTACAGATGGTGTTGTTTATATAGCATACATGAACAGAGACTTGCAGAGTGTCATTAAATAGGCCTTTTTTATAATTACTTGCAATTCCCATTGTATAATTGGAGGACTTCAGCTGTTATATTAAACATTTTATGGAATTAGAGGTGCAGTTACACTTGAAGCTTGCATATTAACAATGAACGGGGGATGTTGTAAACAACCACATGGTCCATTTTATTATGTTTACTCTTGGATTTGGCTGTGATACAAAGCTCTGTTTTTTTTTTTTTTAAGGTGGCCTGTTCCTTTTATTAAAATGTCCCTTAATTAAAATTAAACAGAATGGCCTCCAGGAATATAGACCTTGGATATTTCTCCATTAATCCACTGAGAGCTGTGGGAGTGTGGGCTACACATTATAAAGCTTTGAGAGAATCTAGCAGTGGTGAAGAACTTCAGACCTGGAGCTAAATTCTGGCCCTTCCGTCTATCTGGCCCTGGGGACTGTTCCCAGGCCACGCCCCTCATTGTATGCCATATGGCAAGATGGGACACCTCTGCATCTTCCCTAATTTCCTTTGTAGTGTCCTTTAGATCAAGAAGTACCCGCATGACAGTTCCAAACCCACAGGGATTGTAAGGAGTTTCTTTTAAGCCTAAGAATAAGCAATCAGTTCAGTGAAATATTGTTAGCCTGCCAAGCCAAATAATGATCAGAACAGAATTGTCTTGGGTAGGTTGTGGAAAGCTAGGAGAGAAGGGGCAAAATGGACCCCTTGACCCAGGGAGTTCCATAATCCCAACAATGTACAGAGAAAGCCCACTTCCATGTCCCAGACGCTCTAATGCATTCCCTTCCACTGTCCCAATTTGACGGAGACATCTCAGAATTACAGCAGCCACCCACATCGCTGGTCAGCTCCATTCTGCTTGGTAGGTTGTAAGTTGGACAGGCCAGCTGTATAAAGTTTATGGGGTAATGGTTGAAATAACACATTGATTACTATTCATTTGGTGGTTATTATAACAAAATGAACCATCAGTTCACTTGATATTCCTTTGCAAGCTAAGTGCTTCTGTAAAAGCATTCTCTTGAATGTTGCGTTAATTAAAATTAACCTCGTTAATTTTACAGTGGTAGCTCGGTTTTCAAATGTCTCTGTTGATGAACATTTCGGTTTTTGAATGCCCTAAACCCAGAAGTAAATGCTTCAGTTTTCGAACATGCCTCGGAAGTCGAACATGCCACGTGGCTTCCACTGAGTCCAAGATCTTGAGGCCTAGCTGTCAGCTAATGAGCTTTCGGTTTTCAAACGTTTCAGAACTCGAATGGTCTTCCAGAACGGATTACGTTCAAAATTTGAGGCACCACTGTACTGTTTCAAAGCTTAACTAGAGTGGGTTGAACATAATGATTCAACTTCCCCCCTTTTTTTATTACCCCCCTGGCTTAGAGCACCCTTCCCTAATAGCATTCTTCAGCAACCATCGTTCCCTGCATTGCAGGGGGTTGGACTAGATGACTGCTGTGGTCCCTTCCAACTGTGCGATTCTATGATTCCAAGGAAACGAAAAGGGGAAAGTGTGCTGTCCCCCTGAAATCTCTCATCATTTGGAGATTTGAGGCCATGCAATAATATGATTGAAAAGGGGGCGGGGCAGGCCAGGAGAAGGTAGAAAGTATCTCCCCCACGCCTAATCTGATAGCACTTGATTCATTCAGAGAAGAAAATGTTTGAATGTTGTGACATGCAGCATCGTGTAATGCCATTCCATATCAAGTTACCTGGAATTACATTGTGTCAGGCCAGGTTTGGTTCCCATGTGAAGTAATCTGAACCGACACACTCTAAATTGAAGCAACGAGATATGAGGTCCTGTCACACACAAACACCACTCCTTTGAAGACTGGTGGTATCAGAGGCAGGTGTCAAGGGTGAGCAATGAACAGCAGTCTGGAGCAAATCAGGAACCAGGAGTCAGGACTGGAGAGTAATCAGGGTTGAAGGGGAAACGGGTTCGGTCAAGATCAAAGAATTACCAGCATCAAAATGGACCCACCTGATCTGCCTATTCTGGATTTGTATACCGACTGGAATATAGCCGTCAATCAGATGACCCATCTCTCCAAATTTTCTGAAGCAGTTTAACTGCAAAAAAAAAAAGTAAAAGCACATGAAAGTGCGTATTTTATAAGGGTGTGCATTTTAGAGGAAATGCTTTGAATAACTTCTAGGAATGCATATTTTGGGGGACGAATGTCTAAAAATGTGAAAAGGGAGTAAAATGAAATTTTGTATGTGTTTCAGAAAAACTGTCAACTGTTGGGGCAACTTATTGGCTGCTGACCCATTCCAGGTAAGAGCGCCTGGCAATGGCCCTGAGCAGGCCTGATGAGGGTTGTGTGGCCTGTGGAGTCCCCCAAGAGCCTGACAGAGGCACAGTCGGCCCCCAGGACTGATGTTTCTCCACCTCTGCACTGGATCACTCTGGGGATTTTGAGGAGTGAACAATTCCTGCTTTTGATGATAGCAGTGGCTACTGAGGACGAACCCGTCTCTTAACCATGTCCCATATAACTAGAGGGTTGAAGGTTAGAGAAACAACACAGTTATCTTT